GGCTGGGGCGAGGGTTACTGTCACTGCTGTCTCCGCCCCCGCAGTAGAGCCTTTATCTGGGTTAGCCTCTATGTGTCCCTTTCCCTGCGGTTAGTGCCGGGGCGTTCCCTGCAGGCCCCAAAGCAGCCTCAGTGGTGGTGGACCCAAGCGGCAGGAGAGAGAGATGCTTTCATGACTGCAAATGTCTCCCAAGGGCCACCCCTCAGCAGCTTGGTAACCCGCCTCCCTCTCCTCCTCCGGCTCCTGCCGGCCGCTGACCCACCCCACGAATCCTTTCAAGCAAGGCCCCTCCCTCCTCCTGAATTCAAAGCCGGGTCTCCCCTGGGACCCGCCACCCCACGTGGGGCGCATCAGCTGATTAAGGGCACAGGGAAGACTCCTACCGGCCCAGCGGCTCTGCAATGAGCCAAGGGGCGAGAGCTTTTGAAGGAACGGTGACCACGCCAGGGGCTTGTCCGTCGTGATCCTCTAGTCTGAGCCCCTGGATAACACAGGCCCCAGGATTTCCCCCAAATAACCCCGAGACATGGGCGGCAGGGGAGGATGTGCCTCCCCAAACAGCGCTGTGTGTCCCTGCCCATGCTCCGTCCCCAGCCCCCTCCTGCTTCCCAGCTCTCTGCTATTGCCAGTTCTTCCCCTGTGCTGGGGCTAATGGGGGTCAGCCTGCAGCCAGGGACTCCGCCCAGTGCTCTAGGGCTGGGGGAGGGGGCGTGCTACCCAGCGCTCCGGGGCTGGGCCCGCGCCGCTCGCTCCACGCTCCGGGGCTGGGGATGATTGGGCTGGCGTGGCGTGGCAAAGGAGGGACACCTCGGGCAGAAGGGACAGGCCAGGGTTAGCCTCCCTGAGCCCAGGGTTCACCCACCGCCCATGCCCCTAGAGCAGATGTCTTAGAATAAACCTCCGATCTTGATTTAACAATTGTCAGTGACGGGGAATCCACCCCCCACCCCACCCCGCCGCCTTGGTAAGTTGTTCCAGGGGATAAACGCTCACTGGTAAAAACGTACACCTTATTTGTAGTTGAGTTTGTCTAGCTTCAGCTTCCAGCCACTGGTTCATGTTCTAGCGCATAGAGCTCATTATTAAATATTGGTTCCCTGTGTAGATACGTATG